TAGCACAGACACAGCAATCTTCTGTTATTACAGGTGAAAAGAGGTTGGAAGCTACTGATTTTAGAGTAGACAACAATGGTCTTGCTCCAGCTAACCTTTTGGGAAAATCCACGGGACACTCAACTCCCATCTTGCCCCACTATCTTTTCAAGACAGATAAAGAGGGAGGCATGAGTCAAGGTCCCCGTGAAAACTGTGATTTCATTGCTAGTATGGGTTTAAACTTAAACAGCGTTGGTATCCATCTGTAAAATGTCATTTCTGTTGGTTCCATCCTAGCAGCTCAAACAATAGAAAAATCACACTTTCTCCTCCCTCAATAAAATGTAAAAGTCTATAGTTTCTCTATAATATATGTGCAGTCAAACTACACTAATTTATTCTACAATTACTTTTATTTTTTAGCATTTTTATTTGGCTCTTATACTACATAATTAATGGTGTTTACATGGAAAGGTTGTTTATGTAAATGGCCTAAGTGGATTACTGAGCAAGCCTTAAAACAAATAAACATTTTTCTCCTTTTAAAATTTTCTTCACTCTCCTCTGAATGTTTGGCACAAGAGCAGAGTTTTTAAAATGTCCAAGGGGATATAGAAATCAAGCTTCTGAGGTCCATTCTCCCCTGGTGAGATGGGTTTATAATTCTGTTTCCTGTAATGGTTGGCCCAGGGGGAGTCAACAGTGACCTCACTGACCCAACACATCCCAGACTCAGAAGCCCATCTTTTCTTTGGGAGGTTGCCACTGTTTTTCTCCATGACCTTAAACATAACAATATCTGGCCCTTACAGATCATTTCCTGCAGGGCTTGCAGTACTGGGGATGAGAGACTCATCAGATAAACAAATATGTGCACTATAAAGACCAGAAAAACACCAGGAAAGAAAACCTACCAGTTTTCTGAACACCTCTGCCATAACAATTACATCACCCAGTTGTGGCAATCACTGGGATCGTCCCTCCTAGTCAAAGTTCAGATTGCATGTTCTATGAGTGGCAGCACAGAGCCAGGTTACTGTAAAATAGAGCTGGTGTGACAGTCACTACGTGCCAAGACATATGTTGTTTTCCTAAGGCATTCTGAAGGGAGCACATTGACATCGAAGGCTGTCTCTTTACTCCTGCTCTCCTAAAGGCAAAGCCAAGGGGGCAAGAGTGAAGATGCCCGGCTCCACACCCACATACCCAGCCCTTCAGAGGCCTTAGGAGGGAAGCTTGGCTCCAGGTTGTCTCTGGAAGAACAGGTAACTACCCTCAGAGTTATTGTAGCAGTTGCAGATCAGACTGTACCAGCAGGCTTACTCTAGAGCAGGCTTGAGCCTCAGCGCTAACCACTGAAGAGCTCAACCTAGCTGAGTTCTGAACTAACATTCCACAATGGAGAGATTCCTGCACGAGTCCTATCCAGATTCCCAGGGCATAGCTTAGAATTGCAGTCCAGACGTAGACTAGGAGAAGCAGGTCAAACGCCTGTGACAAGAATGTTTTGAATGAACAAAATTGCACAAGATCCAGTGCTACCTTAAGACCTTGATATTCTCTAAACACTGACTTTCACATCACTTGAAATATATTAACACGTGTACACATCCCACATTTAACAATTTTTCTATAAAAGGATTTTTATAGTTTTGCTTTTCAAAGTATTTGGCTAAAGTAATTAACTTAAAATATGCTATGATTTCTTGACACTTCTGACCTATTTTCAGAAACTCAGTGAAGGTGTCTCATCTAAAAACTGTTTTCCAATGTAATGAGGTTACAAATGTGAAATCCATCCACTAATGAAGCTGACACAGTGTTTGATTTTGTGACCATTTAATAAATGTTTATTAATTTTGCTTTAGTTGTCCTTTTTTATTTTGTAGACAATCATTTTTTCTGGTCAGACTGCAGATATTTTCCCAAGCAAATGTCCTATGACCAGCACTATGAGCCCTGCACCTAGCTGCTAAACTGGTCCTCTGGCTCATGGACCACAGTGAGTTCTCAGGGATTCTCAGACATTTCACAGCACGCTGCCCTCAACCAAAACAATAATATGGCGGCACCAAGTCTTGTGCCATCACTTAACAAAAGAAATTCTTACCAATTAAACTCAGATAATGAAAATGTGTGGATTTTTCGCTCCTTAGAGAAGTTTACCCATAGCCAATGCTACAAGCCTTCATTGCTGGCCTTCGTATATCCATTCTTCTCCTTCAGTGGATGAAATCAGGTTTCATAAATCCAATTTATTGTATGAAGCTTCATTTTCCAATGAGAAATGAGATTTGAAAGCTGATCTGGAGTTACATTTCTAGAAAACTTTTCTATCACTCCATAAAATGTAAGTTATGTATATTCCACCAAGGTGTTTATAACTAGACTCAAGATTACTACTTTAAAGATATTCTATCAGCAACTATTAAAGTGTACTTTATCAATTGACTGTGGTTTTTTTTTCTTCCGAAAGATTAGGTATTATCAGAGTGTATCAACTCAAAAATAACCAGAGCTAGTCTGTTGACAGTCATGAAATCCCCTTTTAGCTATCAGCAAATGCTGATGTGTTAAAGAAAGAACTTGAAAATTCTACTTTCTAAATATGTCCTCTAACGATATCACATATTCACTAGTTTGTTTAAGGGATTCATTCCTGACCTTGGTTTGCTGTGTATCCTTTCTTAAATCAGAGTACACATCGGCTGTAGAGTGGTAAACACTTGGATAATAGCATCAGACAGCAGGAGATGGAATTCCAACTCTGTCGTTTTCTAGCTGTGAAAACTGGAGCAAGTTATTAAGCCTCCATTTCTTCATCTGTAAAATGGTACTAATGATACTTAATAGGATTGTTCTCAGGATTAAACAGACTAATGAGTGTAAAGCTTTTGATGAGCAATCAATAAATGTTAGCTTTGAGTATTACTAGTTATTATCCGTCATTTACTCACTATTTATATCACCACCATTCAAGTCACCACACCTGGAACCTGGACTACTTAGGGGCTTCCTGACTGCTCTGCTTGTTCTGCTCCTGCCTATCCTAAACCCTTCTCATCTCCTCCCCAAAACCGAGGGATCCTTTCAGAATGGAAAAGCAATCAGTTCAATCCCCTTCCCACATACAAACAGTAAAACAAATTCCTCCAGTTACACTTAGCACAAACCTGAAAGGCCCAGGATGGCCTGTATCCTGTTAACCATTCCAGCCTGTTTCCACCCCTCTCCCCGACTCCCTCCATGCCACAGCCCGCTGGTCAGCTTTCCGTGTGCGAGTCATTCCACTGTGCTCCCTCAGCCTGGAGAGTTCTGTCCCTGTCCGACGCCCTTCACATTCCAGCCCAAACCAGATCACACTCATATCTTTTCACAAGTCCATATTCCTTCCCTTCAAAGTACTTAGCTGAAGAAATGCACGCTCTATTTAATAAAGGATAATTTCTAAAGTCTGCCTTTCCTACATGATTTTAAGTTTGGGGAGGGTATGGCTGCCAGTTTTGCTCATCGTGTTCCCCGTAACTAGTTCAGCCAGGACTCAGAGGCCAGTAATGCTACATTAACAAATGAATACACGCAGGCAGAGAGGTTAAAATGGCCTGCAATGCACCGTCTCAAAAAGTTGGCTACCTCGCCTGAGGCTCGTTTTTAAATGGTTACCACACACGCAGGGTCACTTTTCCGTAGCTTTTTCTTGGAGGGCAGGGTGTTTTACAGTTTGACCTTGTTTTTTGCGTCACTCTCTTCCCGCGCGGCCACCACGGAGGGCGGCGGTGGGACCGGACCTGCGCTAAACGGAGAGCAGACGGGCGGCGTGCGCGGGGCGGAACTGCGGGGTGCGGGGCGGGCGCCGGCGGAAGTGCCGGGCGGGGCGGAAGCGGCTACGTTGGCGGCCGGAGGCTCAGGTGGGTGCCGGTGGCCCCGCGCCGAGGGTGGGCGCTCGTGGATCCCGGGCCTGGAGCCGGCGCGCGGGCGGGCGAGGGAGGCCCGCGAGCCTTCCGCTGTGCCGCACGCTGCCAGTGTCGATTGTCGTTAGAGGGAATTTAATTAACCCAGAAGCCATAAATCCATGAACCTCTGGAGGGGAGGTTATAAATGCGCGCGCGCGCGTGTGCGTGTGTCTGTGTCGGAGAGAGAGAGAGAGAGCGCGCTCTGGGAAGCAAATAAATGACGGGCGGGAAAAGGAAGCTTTTTTAAGAGAAAGCAGAAAACATCTCAACTTCATGCTTCTTCCAGGGATTCATGGATTCCCCGTCCCGGGTTTAATTGAACTCTATGAAGGGGTAATACAATCACACTTGGCAGCCCGCTGAGATGACTGCCTTTTTACATAAATATTTTTGAGCAGCCATGTTGACCTTTAATTGGGGTGAAAAGGTTGAAAGGTGCAGCAGGAAACACTGAGTGCCAGGGCTCTCTGGACCAGCAGTCTGAACCTCTCCGCTTTACTGGGCAAAAGCAGCCGTCTGGGTACTGAACAATGAAAGAATAAATCAAATACTGTACAATTCTCCACAAATACTTAGACTTGTCAGTCACTCCTGACAAGTAACAGCTCATACAATTTTTTAATAAGTCAAAAGGGTAGAAAAGTCCCCACTAAATTGTCACTAACGTGAATAGACAGTGACTTCCTAAGGCTGTTTTTAACAAGCAGTGTTTCACCTCGGCGATCTTTATTCTTGCTTCTTAATAGATAGTGTTTATATGGTACTTTCTATTTTAATGTCCTTTAAAAAAAAAGCACAATATGGCCTAGCTTGACCCCAAGATTCTCAGCTCCTCAAGGACAGGGAAGGATCTGTTATATCATGGTTCTGTGTGAAATGGCATAGCCTAATAACCTGGGTCCTGCTCTGCTGAGGAATTGCCTGGAACCAGAAAGGCCCTGCTGTGAAAATTGAGATTGGTGGGGCTGGTGCTTTAGACAGACAGAATCCTCTTGCTTGCTGTGGTCAGCAGTAGCCATTTGCCAAAGAAGGATCAATTTGTTTTTTTTTTTTTGTCTCCTTTACCAGAGGAATATGTGGCCGTGTGGTTTTATTTAGATGGACTGTTGGCAGGTAAGTAATAGAAATGAGGATTTTCCAACTTGGGAGTTTATTGGCCTGTGTTTCTATTTTGTTCCAGATGCCTAGCTTGAAAGTACCCAGAGGCACTGTGGAGAGATGCCTTCAAAATAAGTTATATTTTTTATTATTAAAGTTTTCTTATTTCATAACTGGTGCATACTCTAGCTGGCTGATGTATTCAGTTACTCTAATGCTATGGCTTGGGGTTTCAAACATAGCAGAACCTTGAGGTAATCTGGTATAAGTAGTGAGTTGTTTTATGTTCCTTATTTTAAATCTAATTTTTGCCGCTACTTTATTCAAGGAGTGTACATCAGAGGAAGCCAAAAGCCAACTGGAATAGTTCCTGAATGTGGTTTTAATCTTGTTTGCAATTACACTGAAGGGGAGAAACCATCTGAATCAGGTACGTGTAGCTACATAGATAGCAGGGAGTAGGTGAACTTTCTCCATCTTTCTCCTAGTATCACATAACAAGTTTTAGGGACAAAATCATTTGGGGAAGAATTTACAAAATGAAAAGTTTTGGCTAAGTTTAGCATAGGTATGATTCTAGATCTGTAACTCCCCATCCCAGTACAGCCACAGGGAACAGGAAGCATGAAAACATTACTTTTATTCCAATCCTTACCAAAGTTGAAGTTTCTAGAGATGGAAGCAAACCTCAAAGTATCTACTGTTTTTAGAAAGTATCCATCTCCAAGCATTTCAGACCGTTTCACCAGAAAGTAATATCTGTAACAGCTGTTTTACTATTACAGCCTTCATCACCGTGGTATTATGTTCTTGGTTTATCAGTCTTTCTCCTGCCTGAAGTGTGATTTCCGTAAGGGCAGGGACAATATCTTAATCACTTTTATATTTCCAGTACCTGGCACAGCACCTGCCATGTTGCAGATGCTCAGTACATGCTATAGAAATGAAAAGACAGTGCCCCTGAAGGGAGGCTAGATCTATAAGGAGTGTGAAAACATCATTGGGGATGCAACAAGCTAGGCAATAGAATATAAAACAATAACCTAAAGGGGGTTACTAGATGCAGTTAGAAGTAATGCTTTAATAAATAGCCTGGAACGGGGAGGGACATATTTGAGAATCTGTTCGTTGGTCACCAAACTGCCTTCCAAGGAGATCTGACCTGGTCAGTTGCAGGGCTTTTGTTGTGTTGAGTGGAATATTCAAGCTGAAAGCCTCCACTAGCCTTGTCTCCTCACTCCCTCCAGGCCTGCAGAGCTTATCTCTTCACCCAAATACCTGCTCAGCAAATATTTGAAGAGTATCCAATCGAAGGTGTACCAAATTATTAGCTTACTTAGGGCACCAATATCTTGGTTTGGTCCTGCCTTAAGGATAGAGGACCTATATATGGTTGCTATTTTAAGTCTAAATAGGTTGCTCAAATAATATTGAAGGAAATCCATACTTGTCTTTTCTACTTTACTAACAGCATTCCAAAGGAGTTAAAAGTTGACAGCTTTTTGTGTTGTAACAGGGCGATCATGTGGTACATGCTGCTTCCTTCTGTTGCCAATGGGATTGCTGCAGAAACCAGAATGTTACAACTGGAAACAAATGAATTTCCTCTCATTGTTCTAACACTTTTCCATATTAATCATGAAATAGTGGGGAAATGATTTTTAGTTTAGTTTAGGAAGGACTTGACCTTGAATTATGTGATTTTTTTTTAACTCCTTCTTAAAACATGTAGTCCTTCCAGTCAACCAAGAGAAAGGATACTATTATTTAGTGGAAATTCAGTCAGCTAAGGCAACTTAGGACATAAGCCTGGAAGAAAGAGATCTAAATTGAGCTGTTTCTCCAGATTCAAAAATGAAATTAATGTGAATCTTCTTAGATTTAGAGAACAGAACCTCATTTTTATGGTAAAAGAATTCTGCCATTTGAAGCTGAGACTTTCCTCATTCTCTGCATCCTTAATTAAGCCTTATACAAAATGTGGTGTCTGTTATTTGGTATACTCTGAGGATTAACACATAAAGCTTTTTGAGATTTTTTTTAGAAGAAAGGGGGATGAACTTGGAGATCCCTTCTACTTCTGAAATTCTGTGTTGGTCTCATTCTATATAAAAATGTGTTATTGTTCAAAGAAAAAATATAGAGAATGGAACCAAAAAACACAGTATGAAAGACTTAGGTTAAACATTAGTTTTCTATCCATAAAGCAGGCAGAATCTCCAGAGTCACTTCCTAGTTCCAAAATATCAAATATTCTATCAGTGATAGCTGTTAAAAATACATAGAAGAGGCCTTAGAAGATTAAAGAATCTCACTTAACTGAGGATTGCCAGGGCCTGACCTCAAGAGTGGATGGTTCTCAACATTCAGATTGAACTCTGCCTCTACAGGCCCGAGGTCGTGTATCACAAGTCCAAGGAAACGCTGGATTTAGCAACTCATATGTCCATAGCCATTTGCTACAAAATGGGTAGAAATGAATGAAAACATCTTTCAAGTCTTTTGTGGTCATGAGGAGCTTTATCTCTTTGGCAATATGAATGGGAAATGGGTGGAATATTAGTGACAAATGGAAGATATTGCCTGATAGATAGTTTTTGAATTACAAACAGTTGTTTTTGGAAATGGGATTGTGTCCTTTTTAAATGGCAAGGAAACTGGCATTACTTGCTGGATACAGTAAGACTAATATGTTTTAATGAAATTGCCCTCTTCCTGGGTCAGTATTAAGTATCAGAGATATTTACAAAGGGAATGGGTCATGCTGGTTAAGAAGTACAATGTGGAAAGGAGTCTGCATAATTCCTTAGGCACTTTGTTCCCATCCCTTGAACTAGAATTATTTTGCCCTCATCTTAATGCCATCTTTATGGAATGAAGGAATTTTCAAATTGGTTTTTAAACTCTATTAAGCCCTCATGTATGATATAACCCAACCACATTATTCAGGTCTTCTTGGCTTTCAGGAACAGCTTTGCAGCCATTATGTCATAATTGAACCAAACTCTGTTGCACACTCTGAATTCAGAATATGCTGTTCTGGCTTCAGGCCAGTTGCTAAGTCAGTGTCTTTGGGATTGAGGATGGAGGTGAGGTACAGTGTGTGCAAACCCCATTGTGTTAACGGAATTCTCTGTGGGCTCCCGAGTACTAGAGGGAGTGTATCATCAGAGTATGATAGTGTTCTTGATTAGCATCATTATTTTATTTTTCTCAGCTGAATTTTTTTCTGGAAACCCTTCACTGACATTGTCGTTTGCGCCAACCCCATTACCTAGTAGACTCCTCTGAAGCAGTGATCTGGAAAGTGTGACTGCTAAGGGCTAAAGATTCTAAAACGAACTCCTGCTTACAATGAAGATTCCTCTCCCCTTCCACTTCACATTTGTCTTTGCCAAGGCAAAGATGGTAGTGCTTCCAGGTGTGGAAGAGAATACAAGATGAAGAGGCTCTGTCATGAAAAATAATTTTTAAAATGTGTCTAATAGTGAAAAAGGAAAATGCATTATTCTTCCTTTTAGGGGGAGCTTTTCTACCTCTGATGCTTAGATAGTTGCAGGAAGAGTGCCTGGCCACTCTAGTGTCACCTCCCCCATTGCCCAACTCTGTCCTTTCTGACATCAAGGCTTCCCAGTTATGACTGGAGAGTGAAAGGAGAGAGTTTGCAATGAACAGGTGCCTTTACACTTCTATCTGGATCTATGAGTGAATCTGGGTCCTCTTTAAAGGGCTGAGAATTTTAGGTTCCTACTGGTAAAAGCTACTTCAGATTCTTTGTTCAAGGCCTCGCGCAGTCACAGTCTATTTCTATGGCATTTTTTAAGCATGTGATTTCCCCTTCTTTGATCAGGAGAAAGTTTGAGGCCCCAAAGCTTGAGGCACAGTACCTCTGGGTCAGGACAAGTGGTAGCATTTCCATTTAACAGTTGACAAAACTGAAGCTTAAAGAGATGAGGATTTACCCAGTTTCTCAGAACTAGTTAGTGGTAGTTGCCTTTCTCTTTGGGGTTTATATTTATGAAATCCTCACCTAAAAATGCATTCAGGGAATTTAAACATGCTGAATTCCAACTGAAACTCTATATGAAGAGTAACTTTAAAGTTCTAAATGAAGAATTATACCATTTATACTTAATTCCCCCGTCTGATTGGTTGGTGGGAGCTGCGTTGGGTTATGTTTATTTTGACCTTCTAGACAGTTTATTTAGAACTGCTTGAAACAAGTTTTGTCTTTAAAGATTATCAATAAAATCCAACTTTACAATTACCTGGGTAGCTTCTTTTTTGACATACACAGATTGAGGACATCATTGGTAAAATAATAATGATACTGAATTTTTCCTTTTGAGAAACAAAGACAAATATTGGGAAAGAGCAACTGGAAGGGAACTGGCCTTTGCATAAAACCTGTCAAGGGGAAACCTTGATTCCTCAAAAACTAAATTTCAATGCCCTGTTCTACAACTTTGTGAAGGCTGGGTAAATGAGGCCAGTACCTGGTACCAAGGTATTTGCTAATCAGTCTTACCTAGACTTAGTGACATCCTCAGTAGCAGATAAATATGTTGGATCTTTAGTCATGTCATGTCTTAGAAATTCATATTTAAATAATATTCACAATCTGAAACTTTAAGCTTTATCCATTTTAAATATTTTTTCAGTTTTACAATTCCCTATTTCTGAGACTGCTATTTCTAGATATTTAAATCTTCCATTTGTGGCAAGTAAAAGCACATTTCAGTCAATAGAATCATTATTATTAATAATAATAATATCTTACTTGTGGTATTATTTAGCAATCAGTAGTTAGGCCTTACTTCTCTATTCTGCCTTATATGAAGATTTTTACATTTATTATCTCTTCTTAAGATACCCAGTCAACTTTTGCCTTCATTCTTCTCCTCCAACCTACTATCTCCATCTTCACCAGAAATATTTCCTTTTAGTTAAAATGTTAAATTAGGCAAGAACCAGTCAAGGTAGTTCATTTTAGGGGTAGGCATTGGTCAGAAGATTTAATTACTTTGAAGCAACATCAGATACATCACTTCTGATTTGTGGTAGACTATTTTATTGTCCCTGTTCTAGTCAAGCACTCGTCACTCTATTTGACAATGGACCACTCCCTCATTCTGGAAACACTTTCCCGTTGGCTTCTGTTATGACATACTTTCCTGGTTTTTCTCCTACCCCACCAGCTGGTCTTTGCTGGCTCCTTTCTACCCAGCCTCTAAATGCTGGATTGCCTCCGAGATCTGTCCTGGGCCCTTTTCTTTTTCTGTTCTATTTAGGTGATTTCATCCAGTTCCACAGCAGTAAATTTAATCCTTGAACTGATGGAAACTCAAATTTTTATCTTTAGCCCTGGATTTTTTCCTGAGTACCAAACCTGTATATGTCACTTTCTACTTGAGCTCCAACATGTCCCTA